GGGGGGGGGGGGGGGCACGGAGCTTGTTCTCGTTATCAGCGGTGGCCCTGTAGAAGCTGGCTGCATGCGAAGCGTTTTTTACGCGACTGAGACAACTGTTGTCAGATGTAGCTCGTCTGGCAAGTACTGGCGATGGATGCGCGGCGCAAGTGTCCGGAGAATCTACACGATCAGAGTCGGGATTTTTGCTGCTTCCATGGGTTTGTTATTCGTTTCACTCTTTTGGTTGTCTTGTGTGTGCGATTGGTAGCCAGCCTCTTCGCTGTCGGTCAGGCTCTTCTTTGCTTGTACCTAGAAGTAGCTGAGCTTCTCGTGGTGTGGCGCGCGCACGACAGGCAGTCATCTAGCAAGCTTCCTCGTCCGGATTCCACAAGGATCCCAAGTTGGTTTCGCGGTTTTTTTGGCGTCATCGCGCGCGAGACGGGCCCTCCCGTTCGCTGACCGGGTTCTGTGGTGCTGTGCATTGTTCAATGTATGTTTGTTATGATGTACTGTTGTGATATTTTCCCTCTCTCCTCTTTCACGTACGTACATGTATTCAATCGAGATAAAAGCTCCATCGCGGTCACAACGTAAGAAACGCCCCGAAACGTGATGGTGCGACACCCCAATGACACCAGAAATCTTCGGTGCTGCCCCCCCCGCCCCTGCCGTCAACTGTGCTGTACTGAAGTACTGCCACACATCGCGGACAACCACGTACTCTCCGCTGTAGCACGGGTTTGATGGCACTCTACACCGCTTCTCTTGAGGGCTTGATGAAGTGGATTGTCCTCAGAGATCCAAGGACAGAAATACGAAAGTACAACGCAGGAATAAGTAGTCGGGAGCATGGATGCAACACAGTCAAAAGGAATAAGAAATGTCATTTAAGAAAATGGACGACTTGGGCCGGTCCTTCGACCCAAAATAACACAGGAGGTCGAATCCCCTTGGGAACCCTCCTGCAAGGGGGGGGAGGGGTCATCGGCAAGGTCGAGCCCCTGAAGAGTCCACTGGGTTGTCAACCTCTACCCTGTTACCAACCTCGGGAACCCCTCTGACAAAACAAAGGTTTGGCAAACTCGTTTCCTGCGATGTGATTGTCAGGCTTAGTCGTCAGGGGGGCATTGCCAAGCTCATTCGCGGACGTGTGATGGCAAGGATAGTTAGAGAAAGTGGGACTGCCAAGCTCGTTTGCGAGGGTGGGGTTGGCAGGCTCGTTTAGGAACGTGGGGCTGGCAAGATCGTTTGCGAGCGATGGGATTGACAGGCCCGTTCGCAAACGTGGGGTTGCTAAGGGTCTGCTGAATACTTTTGACTGGCAGGGCCGGCGAACGTATGAGATAGGCAGGCTCGTTCGCTCTGCCGACATCGCGAAGGCGGCACGCCCGCCACAGACTTGAAGTTGAGATGGTGTGGCTTACTGTATTCTTTAGTTCCTCGGGTATTTCCTTGTTAAGCGAAAGCCACGTAAGCAACAGACACCGACCATCGATGTGCGTAGACAACTGCAGTACCGACAAGAAGAGGCGGTCTTTTCATTTCACACACATCACCTAAAAAATTACACAACCGAGGGAGTGACTAAACCCGCCTCTTCCGTGGCAAAGACAAAAAAAACAAGCACACCACAACAGCGTCACAGTGCAAAAGGCACAATGCAAAAGGAGCAGTCAGTGCAGAAGGCACAAATGACCGCGTCTATCTCTCTTTTTCTACGCGCAGACTACGGTGAATACTCGATTACTGTCGCAACGTTCTCGTCGACGCACAGCGTCGAGGGACTCAATACAAAACACAGTATGAGGAGACGTGAACACGCACGCTGAGCCTCTCCAAACCAGCGGGAGAGCAAAAAAAATGGAACCAAACACACCACGGCGCTCTACGCATACTATCATAACACCACCGCTACGATTGATCTAGTCCGTAAGCTGCACGCATCTCCTTCCACCATATGCCCGCACGACAAAAACGCCACAACCGAGGCATCACGCCCCACTTGTCCCTCGGCAGAGGTAGAAACAACAACAGACCTACAACACGCAGCTCCGCCATATACTCGCACGACCAAAAATAAAAACAACCAATGTTGAGTCACCACACCGGCCTGTTCCATTAGGACAGGGGCAAAAGGAACAACCAAACCACAACAGAATCACGGGGCAGAGGGAATAAAAGACCCTTTCTTACGCACATGTGCTACCGCGACCCCTCGACGACTCTCGCGACGTCCTCTCTGAAGCAGCGTCGAGGGACTCAATATTACACTTGCACATCATCAGGATACGAGAACACGCACGCACCCCTATCGAGCCTCTCTCTCGAAACCAGCGGGAGAGCCTAACAACAATAAAAAAAAAATACATGAACATCCGTGAACGTACAGTACTACACCCCCAGCGCTTGACGGTAACAGCAAGCGTCACCATCTTGTCCCATGACAGAGTGCAAAATAAAAAAATGACAAACAAGACCACAAGACGAAGCGGAATCAAACAGAATTGCTCTGTCCTTTAGGCCGTGCTCTCGACACACCCACGGCGTTGAGAGGGGGCAGCCTTTATCCACAACCCACTCCTGCTGTTCCGGCGTTCCCAGCCCCGTCTGCCGCTCCAAGCGCGGCCGATGCAGGACTCGAGAACCCTCTCCTGCTGTTCCGGCGTCCCTCGCCCCGTCTGCCAATCCAACCGCGGCCGACGCAGGACTCGAGGCCGTCGTCAAGATCTCATTCGCGATCGCTTTCGACGTGATCATCTCCGCCGTCAGATTCCTAGCCTCGATGACCTTGTCGAAGACACGGCCCAAACGGTGTCGCACCCTGCTAGCGGAGGGGGAGTGGAGGGACATGAGAGTGACTCAAAAGCTCCAAACGTTCCAATTTCAGTTCAGATACCCCTGACACAGCGACAGGAAATTCATGGCCCGACGCCTCTCGGGCGAACAATTGGTGCGCAAAAAATTGGGCGATAGAGTAGTGCGCATAATTTGACTGGGCACGGCCGGTGTAGCATGTCCTCGAAGACGCTCGGTCGGCTGTCCTAGGAGAGAACACAAAACTCACGTCTGGTTGAAGGCCTTCTCCTGCAGCTTCTTCTCCGCGACGAGATCGAGGGCTTCCCCGAGGCTGTTGAACAATGGAAGACCGTAGCCTTGTTCATTTCACAGGCCTTTGTCGTCAACGACACCGTGAACTTCACTGAAGTGGGCGAGGCAGCGGACGTTACAGCGGCATGTGTGTGCGCTAGGACGGGGGGAGGTGGGGACCAGCCGAACCGACACTTGTTTTCGGCGGAACCGAGACGAGTGGGAAAAAAGCTGAAACGAACCTTTTGGCTGACAGAAAAGGGCTTCATGCATTTATCATTATAGCGACCAGAAGATCTTCGTAAGGTTATAGATCGGTGCGCAAGTAGCGGCCGCTATTAATAGTCCTGTCGTTTAGCCTTGGGATTTGTGCGAGCTCTCAAGCCACTTGACGGAGGGTAAGTATGTGACGACAGTACTTCGCCGTGGACATGGACGTACATATGTACCTATGTTATTCTCCCGGGTGCACTAAAAACCCTTCGCAAATTGGAGGGGCTATGTTCGTTCAGAACGATTGTGAAAAAAAAAAGTTCCTGTTCGACGCGTTTATAGGACGCTGCGCGACTTCACCGAACCACTCCGCAATAGACCTTAGGACCCATTTGGACATTGGTTCAATACACGCTCAATAGCGCGTGCGCTCTCTGACTGACGCGACGAATGCTGCATAATGACTACGGCGGGGAAGCACACCGTGGCGAGGGCTGCGGTGGCAGTGGAGGTCTGGCTCTTACCTCCCTTCGGGGCTGAGCCTGGGGAGGACGTCCCGGACAGCGGCTTGAGCGCGTCCTTCATCGACTCGACACCGGCCTTGAGCACGTCCATCTTCTCTTCGAATTCCTGTCGTTCAGTGGCTGTGTACGAAGGGGCGGGGCAGCGAGGGGCGTTTCCAGAGACAGCGGAGACAGCACGGTTCAGACTTGAAATGACGAGAAACGACTACGAACACCTCATCGGAGCACTCAGTAGCTTCCCGACCGCGGGAGCACATGGCATACATGACACGTGAATATGGATCACCTCGACAAGCGAGTGGTCATGCATGCGGATCATTTCGATGTTTTCCGTGCTTCGGCAAAAACGCTTTTAAGAAAGGAAACCATTTGAATGCTGCTGTTGCGCACCGCACACACACGGTGAAGAACGTGTCGTACGAAAGGGCGGTCAAGAGTACCATCTGCAGCAGAGTATGAGCTGCGGCAAAGACCGCGCTATATTGCCTGCACCCATCATTGTACAGAAAGTCGCCTACCGAATTTTGAGTTAATAGGATAAAACCGTGATGATATCGGCAAACAACCTCTCGGGGATATTTACGTGTCCATGTGTACAGCAGTAGCCGCGTTCTAGCCCTTCTGTGCTCGGGGTTGCAACATAGATGACAGTCGGTAGGATAGCATGAGCGCGGTAGGTCTGCATTGCTGTAGAATGGTCAACAGTATTTAGCGTACTTGGGGGGAATGACCCCCCCCCCCCCGGATCTCCTCCCCCGGTGTTTGCCATCGGGGTTGGGTTTTCGTCGCTTGGCAACGACGTTGTAAAACAAGCCAATTCACTTCGTGAACTCGGCAACCAGGTTACCGTTTTTTTTTTTTACCTCCGTTTTTTTTTTTGGCGGTAACCATAATGGTGGTCGAGTAGATCATGTTGTGCGGGGTGGAGAACCCTCACTCCGCGCAAGGGGGATGATCGCACCACGTAGGTGTTAAATGGTCAAGCACACTCAAGGCAGTTACACAGTGCTTACAACTGTCTCTGGAAGTGAAAGCACCAGAAAGTAAATTAAGTCATACGCAGCTGTCATCCGTACGCAAGGAAGTAAGCACAAGATGCCGAAAACCCTTAGCAGGATGCAGCGCACCCTTCATGCGACTCGCCAAATTCCCGCGGCTTTGAAGGGATCACTCCCCCCCCCCGGAGGCGACGTTTGACACCGGGGTTGGGTTCTCGTCGCTTGGCAACGACGTTGTAAAACAGCCCGCCCCCACCGGTGTTTGCCATCGGGATTGGGTTTTCGTCGCTTGGCA